GCGAGCTTGTCCCCTTGGGTGCTCTGGTCGCTGAAGTGTCTATTGCTCCTAAAGTCTGAAAAAGGGGCGACATGCAGAGATGACTCAGTTTGCATATAGTGTCCCATACGATGACGTGAAAGAGCAAAAGAAACCCTAATTTACCTTAACCCTTAGAAAAACCCTAAAAACCCATGAGAATGAATTCCCAAGTTCTCACTTTTTATAAAGAAAACAGTTCTCTTTTTATCACTGTCCAGGAACATGCATCGTGTAAGCTTACCAGGCAGTTCATACCCACCATTACCGTAAAGTCAAGCTTTTAACAAAAATAAAAGAAGAAACCGAAGGAGAAGTCTTCCTTACCTCTTGACTGCTAGGGACGAACTTCTTGTCGTAACGAAGAGTGCACATCAACTGAAAGAAGAACGGATTGATTTTGCGAATGCATGAGTTTTGTTTTTCTCTATGAAAATGTGAGCTTTATGATAAAACTTGAGGCGAACCTGGGGTTTAATAGGGGGAAAGATGACAATTGGTTTCCCTAGTGGGCGACGCTTGGGCGCGATACATTTCTCGCCATTGATTACGACCACGTGTCGTTAATCCATATGAAGAGTAACCTTCACGTTCATGGATACCAATCGACATTTCCCTCCATTGGAGTAACCAAGTGTTGGCGCGATTACCTCCTCCACATTAAATGCGCCATCATTCGCATTTAATGCTCTGAAACGGAATGTCGTTTCAGCATGGCTTACATTTAATGCGCATGGTTGGCACTTATTGCGCAAGAGACACATTTGTCATAATAAAGTTTATTTTATTGACTAGACCAGCTATCAAGCGCAACGGATAACATCTGAAGAGGTCGCTCGAGTAAAACACTCTTCTCCATGTATCGATTTCGAGACGATGTGATCCCTTGCTTTCGGTAAAAATGTGCTAAATATTTTTAGGTCACAAACGACAGATAAAGTTCAAAGCATGTTAATATAGCACTAAGTAGGGTTCGATCCAAGTTGTTGAACCTACGGGAGAAAGCCACCTCAGGGCGCTTGTGCTATTCTTAAAGACCTATGTTGTGACCTCCTTACAGCTCGCTAGTCGGGTTGAACTGCTAGTTTGACATTATCTTAACTGCTTGTCTCATACAACTTAATCAGGCGTCACTTATGATAAGCAGGTCACGGCATAATCATGAAGCTCTTAAGGTTCAACCCTTAAATCTTAAAAGCTGGGGGTCTTTTGTTATGCCTAAAAAATCAGGGCTGACATAAGCTCACGCCAGTAAGGGCCAATCAGAATTCAGGAAGGCTTTGTGTCATCCAAACACTGCCATGTCAAGCAAGGACAAAAGAGGTAAGGTTGTCGTCAATGTGGCAGGTGAAATCTTAGCTTTTGAGTGGCTAGGAATTGTCCACCTGCCCATGCCCTATGCAATTTAAGGATATCTCATATGCAGTCAGCCAATGGGAAGTGGGTTAGGAATTGTACCACACCTGCCCGACTACAAAATCATGATTATTACCTTGAATCCCTCGACTATAAATAGAGGGCTCCTCTCTCATTTATGGGATGACTCATTTTTAGTTTTCTAAAGCAGACTCTCTCTCTCTCTATATTTAAATTCTCTCTAGATTGTAACTCAGCTCATTGTATGCGACCTGATTGTAATCACCCATTAATACAACTATAGTGGACATAGGATTTGCTTTTGACCATTCGAACAACTTTAAAAAATTGTCTCTTGTTTATTCTCTCGTTGTACATTTCCATATCACGTGTAATTTCTAAGTCCGTTTAGCACTTTATACGTGCGAGTCATTGGTGTCAAAATCAAGTATCAACAAGTTTATATAGACAAGTTTTCATCGCTAGTTTCATTTATTCTAGATTTTCACTCTTAAATTAACACCGTTAATGATTTTTGTGTTCTGACATAGTATAGAGTGTTCATACCAAATTGCCCTTGACAAATAAATTAATAAATCACATTTTAACCCCTAAATTAGTAGAATAAGAAAAATAACCATCTTATTTTCAAATTTATTTCAATAACACCCTCTTCTCTGCGGTGGCGGCGGCGATAATATCTTGACAGCTAGATCTAATCATCGGGATCGTATTCTCTCTTTCTCTCCTTATCTCTTATCGGCCTCTTTCTCTTTCTCTTTCTCCTTTCCAAATCTAGGCAACAACTAGATCTAGCCTCCATTGTCGCCTCTTTCTCTTTCTTTCTCCTTATCCCTTCTCTGCCTCTTTCTCTCTTCTTTTTTCTCTTTCTCTTTCTCCTTCTCATTTCCTCTTCTCCACGACGAATCTGGGTTGGAGTGCAGGGATTGCTACTGCGACTGATTTGGGTTTTTCTGTCGCAAGGGAGAGATCAATAGATTTCAAACTTGTAGGGATTATTAGGCTATTTCTCAGGGATGCTTGTAAGAGAAATTTGAGATGTAGAGGGTTATTTTAAATTTTTTATTTTTATTTCAAATTTATTGTAATGCAAATGACCACTTTACCATTTAACCTTTATTTTAAATGATTTTATATTAAATTTACTAGGGATAATAATGTTATAGTTGAATTTTTTGCTAACTGTTGTATGGTAAAGGACAAACAATCCAAAACTGTTCTTCTCCAAGGAAAGCTTAAAGCTGGCCTATACCAACTTCAACATCAAATATGCCTGTTACTTCTTCAAAGTCTTCAGGCTCAGCTTTGCACTTTTCTACTATTGTCTTTAAACAACCCTTATCATCCTCTCATTCAATGTATTGTTTCAATTCTGACAATAATGTAGTTGGTTGTCTTAAAACTTTTGATAATCACAATGTTGCTCATACTGTTCCTACTTTTGTATCCACATGTAATGAAGCTACTATTGATAATAAAAGTGCATTGTTTCAAGCTTTACCAACTGAAAAAACTAGTGGACTATTGTGGCACAAAAGATTAGGTCACCCCAATGCCACAATTCTTGCAAAAATTTTACTTTCTCTGCAAATAAATCCCAAAGTTAAGACAAATCTTGATTTTTGCACAGCATGCCAATTCGACAAACTGCACCAGTCCACCTTTCCCAGATCTAGCTCTAGAGCTACCAAACCTTTGGAATTAGTCCATTCAGACCTTTGGGGTCCCTCTCCTGTTCCATCCCTTGAAGGATTCAAGTATTACATCCAGTTTTTAGATGATTATCGTAGGTTCACTTGGGTGTTTCCTTTGAAAGTTAAATCTGAAACCCAAAGTATCTTTAAACAGTTCCATAAGTTGGCTGAAAGACAGTTCAGTACTCCTCTAAAGTGTGTCCAAACTGATTGGGGTGGTGAGTACCGTAGTCTAGTCCCTTACTTCCTTGATCATGGTATTCTTTTTCATCATCCATGTCCCTACACTCACCAACAAAATGGACGAGTGGAAAGGAAACATAGTCAAACAGCTGAACAAGGTCTCACATTGTTAGCCCAAGCTAGTATGCCCTTAAAACACTGGTGGTTGGCTTTTCAAACAGCATCCTTTCTTACTAACAGATTACCTACACCAATTCTGTCCAATCAGTCACCATTCCAAGTGTTGTTTAACAAAATTCCATATTATTCAATCATTAGAGTCTTTGGTTGTGCAGCCTTTCCCCTTACTAGACCCTATAATGCTCACAAGTTTGATTTTCATACTACTAAGTGTACTTTTGTTGGATATAGTCTTCATCACAAAGGATACAAATGTTTGGATTCCAATGGCAAGATTTATATTTGTTCTAGTGTCAAATTTGATGAAAATTGTTTTCCTTTTGTTCGAAATCCTTGGCCTTCTTACAATGATAATTCCTTTTCTCAAGTTTCTAATGACATGTCTACTTTGGTTGCTGATCAGTTTCCATTTCCTTTATCATCCTCACATCTGCCTACTTTTTCTTCCTTACCTCACTCAACCACTCAGCCACAAAATAAGTCGCATGGTCAATCTCATGTTCACTGTGATGGTTAGTCTCATGGTTCTGTGTTACCTTTACCAACATGTCAGCAACATAATTCAACTATAGCTACATTACCCCAGTCCACTTTACCAACAAGTTCAACTTCATTTGATTTGCCCCTTGAACTTCGTGTGTCTTCTGCACCCCAGCCTGATTCACATTCTAATCAAAATCACCAGCTTACAAACTCCACAAATACTATAGATCCAAATCCTTCAACCCCTACAAACATCACAACCTACTCACATACTCCCACATATCAGTCCTCTGCCTGCTAACCTGATTTAAATCCAATCAAAATCACCAGCCTACAAACTCCACAAATACTACAGATCCAAATCCTTCAACCTCCACAAACACCACAACCTACTCACTTACTCCCACAGATCAGTCCTCTGGTCCTATTCACCTTACTATCGACCTGCTTTTTGATAACCAGCCTGTTACATGCTCAAACTCCTCCTCTAAAGGTATCAATCTCTATGTTGATCTTCCACTTAAACCTCCATCTCACCCTCCTAACATTCATCCTATGCTTACAAGATCTAAAATCAAGTCTCCCTATTCTATGTTAGTAACCTCTACCTCAGCAGTTTCCCATCTTGACACCACAGAACCCACCAGTACCACTGAAGCTCTCTCTCATCCTTCCTGGAGGGCTGCCATGAAAGATGAGTTCACTGCTCTCTTATCCAACAACACCTGGGAACTTGTATCAGCTGAGCCTCACATGAATATTGTTGGCTGCAAGTGGGTGTTCAGGATTAAACATAACTCAGATGGGTCTATTCAGAGATACAAAGCCAGGTTAGTTGCTAAGGGCTTTCAACAAACTCCTGGTATTGACTACATTGAAACCTTCAATCCGGTTATTAAATCATCAACCATCAAAGTTGTTTTAAGCTTGGTTGTCTCTTATGGATGGGATATACAACAAGTGAATGTCAATAATGCGTTCTTGAATGGAGAACTCAGTGAAACAGCTTATATGTCTTAGCCTCAAGGTTTTGTTGATCCTAAAGCTCCTCTTCATGTATGCAAAATGGTCAAAGCTCTTTATGGCCTCAAACAGGCTCCCCGGGCCTGGTTTAATAAGCTTAAACATGCCTTTCTGAAATGGGTTTTTGTGTCTTCTGTGGCAGATTCGAGTCTCTTCATATATAGGAAAAATGGTCAAGTCATGTATGTTATTGTCTACGTAGATGATATACTTTTGACAAGTCCCGATGCTAATTTTGTTCATGAGATTGTTCACAAGCTGAATGTTGATTTTGCTTTGAAAACCTTGGGATCTCTCAAATACTTCCTTGGTTTTGAGGTTCATCGAAATGCATCAGGTTTGCATATGAGTCAGGCTAAGTATGCTCATGATCTTCTTGTCAAGACTGGTATGATGGATTCAAATCCATGTTCAACACCAATGGCCATAGGTAGCAAACTCACCTTTGAGGATAGTGCCTTGTTTGAAAAACCAGCCCTTTATCGGAGTACCATTGGCGCTCTCCAATACCTCACATTATCAAGACCTGAAATAGCCTACTCAATCAACAAACTCAGCCAATTTCTTAAAGCCCCAACTCAGCTACATTGGCAAGCTTGCAAGAGACTACTACGATACCTTAAAGGCACTATCAACTTTGGCATTCAGTTCAGCAAAATCTCCAGATTTCATTTAGAATGTTTCACTGATGCTGATTGGGCAGGAGACATTCAAGATCGCAGATCCACAAGTGGGTGTTGTGTGTTCCTTGGCTCCAATTTGTTGCAATGGAGCTCACGCAAACAAAGGGTTGTTTCACTGTCCTCTACCGAGGCAGAATACAGGGCACTTGCCCAAGGTGCAACTGAGCTAGCGTGGTTTCGAAGCTTGTTCTCTGAAATGGGTATCACTCTCTCTGAAATTCCAGTAATCTAGTGTGATAATCAGAGTGCAGGCTCTCTTGCATCCAACCCTATTTTCCATGCCCGTACTAAGCACATTGAACTAGATGCACATTATATTAGAGAGCAAGTTGCCTCCAACTTTGTAAAAGTTCAATATGTTCCCATTGAGCATCAAACAGCTGACATCTTCACCAAATCCCTCTCCACTTCCAGATTTGAGCTGCTCAGAAATAAACTCCATGTTACTGCACCCACTGCTCTTACTGATTCTGCTTCTGGTTCCTCTCAGAATGCTTCAGTTGTTAGTGCATTCACTGCTCTTACTGATTCTGCTTCTGGCTCCTCTCAGCATGCTTCAATCTAAAAGTAGCTGCAGTCTCGTTTGAGGACAGATATTGATAAAAGTCAGACTTTAGTGTAGTTCAGTTTTTCAGCAAGAAACATGTAGTCCAGCAAGGAAAATGTAGTCCAATTTCAGTAAGAAAAATGTAGTCCAACAAGTCCAGTTTTTTTTTTTTTTCAGCTTTCTAGTTTTCAGCAAGAAAAATACAGTCCAGACTTCAGTTAAAAAAAAAAAAAAAAAAATGGTCCAGACTGCAGCAAGAAAAATGCAGTCTTGTTTGAGGGGAGATGTTGGTAAATAGCAGAATTCCAACCTTAGCAAGGAGCAGTCTTGTTTGAGGGAAGATGTTGGTAAAATGCAGAATGTCAAACAATGCAGAATGCCAAACAAGCTGCAGTCTCGTTTGAGGGAAGATGTTGGTAAAGTGCAAAAAGTGTGCAGACTTCAGCAAGTTGGTAAAGTGCAGAAAGTGTGCAGACTCCAGCAAGTTGCAGTCTCGGTTGAGACCAAGTGTTAAATAAAATCTGTATAACTAACAAAGTTGTTAGTACTTAGAGTTAGTTTGTTACTAGAGTTAAGATGTATGGTTAGTCAGTTACAACTCTGGTTAAACCAAGCACTATAAAAGTGCTTCTACAGTATATTCGCTTTTAAAAAATAAGCAAAAAACGCAGTTCCCAGAATCAGCTTCTTCTTCGTCTCCTTCTGTGTTTTTCATTTCTTTCTCTGCTTTCTATTTGAAACTTCACAAAGATAAATGAAAGCAGAGGCGAAAACTTGTCATTTCGCAAATATTTGGTGGGAACATGTCGTTTAGACGTTTACTCTATGAATTTTAAAGACTTGATGCATCTTGCCAATTAAGAGAGTCACGTTTTACCACTCAAGAGAGCGCACACTATATATCCTAAATTTTTTTATGAATGACGCGTAGCGAATATTCTTTCAAGGGAATTGATGTGTTTTCGTTGGGCAGTCCTTTTCACTCCAAGTCTACGCGCAAATTTTTATCGCAATAAATTGCAGTCAATTGGTGAAAACGACCGCCTAACAAAAACGCGCAGATAGACCTTAATGATAAAAAAACGCAGTCGTTTTCATAATCCCTGCTCAAATTTGGATTTTTTGTGCATTTTTGTTAGGCAGTCGTTTTATTGACTTCGGTACTGCTAATCACTCTTTTCAAATCCACGTAGTCTTTTTTTAAACTAAACATCTGGCAGCAAATTAATGTATTGAATTAATTAATTTCCATGTGAACTAATTATTGAAATAATTTTTTGAGTGTTCATCCACAAATAAGAACAAGAGCAATGTCATCTTTGTGCATCTATATATATAAATGTTTCTCGTAGTTTATATATGTTGTCTAAGTTGCTTTTCTATAAATTAGTTTTTTAAGATGAAGCACCAGATTAACTTTTCTAGAGAAAGTTTAGTATCATCAAACTAAAGTACAAACCAAAACTGAAAGCCACCCTTCCAAAAACTAGAAAAATCGGTAAATAAAGGTGAAGAATGTGTCAATATCACTGTAATATGTAATGATTTTGCTGTTAAATTTTGAAAGAAATAGAGTATTCCAGCACATGGCCTCCCAATTCGAAGGCTGAATTTAATGAATGTACATATACTAAACAAGATACGTGGACGTTTACTGTTTAGTCAATGACCTTAATTTAACAAAGATTGATACATGTTCTAACCATTATGAGTTTGTGCAGATTTTAAAGAGTTTTATGAGTTAACCATTATGAGTTTATACAGATTTTTAAAGAGTTTTATGACAGTAATAAATAAGAGTTTTTATACTCAGATTATATATGTAATATCACTCTTTCCTTTAACGATTTTAAAATTTATCTTAGGTGTTTTATTTTATTTGAAATAAATCAATGTTCAATTATGTATTTTATATCTGCTTCTTCTTTTTTTTAATATATATATTTCTTTTCCTCAATATACAAGACTCATAATTTAATTTAAACCTTTTATTAAGAAGATAACAATTAAGTGAGAATGTTTTATCATAATACAAAAAAATAATTAATATTTTATGTTGTTGTATTGTCCACGTACCCTTTATTTTTTTTTCTAAAAAAAATATGTTTTACTATATTTATTATTTTATTAGAGTTAAATATGGGCTTGTTAATGCAACTCTTTTTAGTTTAATATAACGTTACTCAAGCGTAATAGTTAAATTTTATTGGGTTGTAAGTGGTTCAGGATCCTCTTTTGATTTGATTTGATTTTAATCTGAACAAAACATAGGGATATGATTGGCAATTGATTAAAAAGAAACAAATCATAATCATACATTATTCATTGTAAAATCCTGTAACAATGTTCGACTGTATTTTAATTCCACGGTTCACCCCATGAGCTCATAAATGAAGTTTTCTTCTTCCAATACAAGGGTTTTGATCTCGACTCCCTTGACGTTTAATCAAATAATAAAATTCTTCTTGAGAGTTCATAAATAACATAAATTTCTTTAGGTTAATAAATATTTACTTAATTGTTTCTCTATATTTATTTTAACTAATGAAAACTCGGTAGAAGGGAGATTTCTCTTATTATTATAAAGAGATTTCTGTTATTCAATTAGAATTAAAAGGAGAATTATGAGATTAGCCCTTCGATATTAAGAATTCGTACGAAGTTAAAAGCATCATTTCTCACGTTGTACGCCTCAGCTAATTCATTACCCATTGGTGCACCCCTTTTTCTTCCTTCCACTCAAAGAACATGGCAGACTCACTACCGTCCAGTATTGCAACAAATATTTTGGAGACGATAACTTACCTTGATTCCCCAAAAACATGTTTTTCGAGGAATCTTCCAATAGAAATAATGAAGCTCCGAAGAACGGTGTCCATCATCAAAGACGCCATCTTGGATGCCGAGACACAGCTGGAACAGAATAAACTGGCAGACTCTTCAGAGATGTTGAATGCTGCTGCGGATATGTTACATAAATTGGCAAGTGACAGATCCCAGGTATGCAAATTCATTTTGAGCTTCATATATTATCTTAAGATCAAGGGGATTAGAAAGAGGTTAGATGGAATGGCAGCTACTATTATGCGTGACCGTGATCAGGATGCAATGGCAGCCACTATTATGCGTGACTATGATCAGGATGCAATGGAACCTATTATGCGTGACTATGATCAGGATGCACCTGACATTAAGTGTGTTAATCCAAGGGGCTGGGTAGTAAGTGACACCTTCGTGGATACTTCCGAAGTTTTCGGGAGAGACGCTGATAAGGAAAAGGTTATAGAGTCTTTGCTGAAACCAAACCATGAGTTATCTGTAACTGCTATAGTTGGGATGGAAGGTATAGGAAAAACCACCCTAGCCAAACTGGTGTATAATGACAAAAGGATAGATGATCACTTTGATCTCAAAATGTGGATATGTGTACCTGCGGACTTTGATATAAATATATTGATGCAACGAGCTTATGGTTTTGCAACCAATCAAAATCCTGATAAATTAGCATCGGCGGGTAATTTGGAATTCCGCTTGCAAAAAGCATTGTCTGGGAAGAAAATTTTGCTTGTTTTGGACAACGTTTTGAAAAAAAATAATGATAATATGATGTACTTCGAGAAAGTACTGGAGCAATCCAATGAAAGTAAATTTTGGTTATTACCCATAGGAACCAAATTGCCAAATTGATGGACATCATTGACATAAACATTCATGATTTAAAAGGTCTTTCCCATAAGGATAGTATGTCGTTGTTTGTGAAATATGCATTTGGATATCAAGCAAGCAATGAACATCAAGACCTCATTGAAATTGTGGAAAAATGTGATGGGATTCCTTTAGTAGTGAAAATTTTAGGAGCCCTATACCGATGCACAGGTCCGGGTAATCGGTTGCCAATTATAGATAATTTCTTCTGGAGGGAAATCCAAGAGAGAAGTATCATCCGACCCATGTTGGAATTCTGCTATGAGAATTTGCCATCTCATTTGCAAATTTGCTTGAAGCATTGCTCCTTATTTCCAAAGGGTTTTTGTTTTAACAGTCATTATCTGATCCATTATTGGATGGCGCATAATTTTCTTAATTCTGGTGACAATAACGAAGAGTTGGAAGATATCGGGGAGAGATATTTGAAGGAATTATTTCTTAGGAATTTCTTTCAAGATGTGGTAAATCACGGTTATTATTTTACATTTAAATTGCATGATTTTGTGTATGATATTGTCTTAAAAGACGCAGAAAATGATTGCAAAAGGGTGGATCTCAGAGTCACGTATCCTAGAATACAGGCTAAATATTTGTCATTTTATGGTATTGAAGACGATCATAGAGAATTTCCATATATTGCACCGGACTTGTTGGCAATCATCATGAAAAGTTATCCGTTTCAGCCTGTTACTCAATCCTTCGTTAATAGATGGACATCGAAATTTAAGCAGATCCGCCTGTTATGCTTAAGTGGTTTACAATTTGAAGTGCTACCGGATTCTGTCGGTTCATTGGAACAATTGAGATATCTTGACTTATCTTGGAATTTAATTATAATGGAACTCTCGGAGGCAATTTGTAAACTTAAGAGTTTGCAAACCTTAATACTTCTTGGTTGTTCAAGACTTAAGCAGTTCCCCGAAAATATGCGAAAACTGATCAACCTCAGATATTTGGAAATAACCACAAATGCGAGTCTACTGGGAAATGAACTTAAATATTTGCACTCTCTCCAATAACTGCACTTGTATAACTGTTACAATCTTCAAAGTTTGTCTGGAAAGATGCAAAGTCTCACCAACCTCCGAACATTGATTTTGCAAGGTTGTGATAGCTTGGAGGCGTTGCCAGACGATATAAAATATCTAGAGAGATTGGAGAAGCTTGTGATACACAGTTGTTTGAACCTTAATCTGAAGATGGACTTGCAAGAAAAAGACCGCCGCCTGAACCTTAAAGTATTCATGATTTATGAACTACAAAAAAAAGTATATTTACCCCAATTGATTCTTCAACATTCTGCCAACACTTTAGAGTACATGCGGATTGATTCATGTTCCATTCTCACAACACTGCCACCATGGCTTACAGATCTCACATCACTTCAAAAACTTGAGATTGTAAGCTGCTCAGAATTGTTATCTCTGCCACGCGGGATGGAGAAACTCACTGCCCTTAAAGAATTGAAGATACAAAAATCTCCTACCCTGAGTGAAAGCTGCAGAAGGAATTGGTCAAACATTGATCATGTCCAGAACATTCATCTTGACCCTGAAATTGCTTCATCATCGAGATCAGGTATGTGTAAAACTCTCTCTTATTTTCATTTTTATAAAGCCTGGTAAATGGTTTATATAAGCTAGCTTATAATGTTGTTGTTGGAATACCCTTCAAGAAAAAATTAATTTATTTCTAATTCTTGACCCTGCAGTTCCTATCATCATCCGGGACCAATAAGTGATCAGGTATGCGTAAAAATCTCTCTTATTTTCATTGTTATAATGCCTGGTAAATTTGTTTATATATATGAGCTAGCTTATAATGTTATTGATGGAACATACCCTTCAAGAAAAAAATTGATTTATTTCTATTTCCCAATTGCTTATAAGCATTACCTAATTCAAGGATATGCTGTATTCTTGGCATCCACTACAACCTATAAATATATGTTTATAATTTTGGGATTCATGTTTTGTTGTTGTAGTGTCCAACTCCATGTGCATTGCTTCTGCTACCTTTTTAATTCAAACTGTGTACATGGATCAGTGAAGTGTGATCATTTATTATGATACTTAATGTATAAATCCTTCCTATAAATTTTCTTAATCTAATATCTCCTATTCCAATTTATATCATTTATTTTGTGATCCGTATTTGATGTTGAATGTCAACAAGTTCTGATTATGCCTATTATACCAGTCAGTTTTCAGGTATCCTGTAGGAAGATTTTTAAAGAAAGATATTTGGATTTTTGAAACTCGTTTGCGGAATATAATTTTACTAAGAATTTTATTGATAACAATTTAATACTTTGCTCTGACATTTTTACTTACTGTGTAACTTATATTTTTATTTATTTATTTTGCAGCATTCCGGAGATGCTATCGAGATTCTGTCAAAAGTCTTGAGCAAGTGCAAGTCGTTTCAATTCCGGTTCCTGCTTATCGTGATGTTTTTCTTTTTATTTGTGTAATGGATTGTTATGGTGGGAGTATTTATTATTTTCTGAAACTTATGGGTGTGTTGATAATTTCATGAAACCTCAAGGGAAGATATACTTTTCCCTATGTTATGACTCGATTCATGTAAATAATCTTTGTACTGGATAATGCTACTGTTTGTTTGGTTATTTTTGTTCCCATTCAAAGACTATGAATAATCTCAAAATAAAAGTATCTTAAATGGTGTTTTCTTTTTTCTTTTTGATATTGTTCATTACAAAGGAAGTGGCTTGCTTGCTCCCAAAATGACCTCAACAAACGAACAACCAACTATGAAATGAAAGTATAAAACTAGTTGATCTGCAAAATTCATAACTTACAGCGAGGGCAAGGCAGCTTGTGGTAAAGATAATGCATTCTCATTTTGAAAGTTATAATCTGCCTGACCAAATCTCATGAAAAATGAGAAAGAGAAATGCGTAGTTTTATGTCCAGGATTTCCAAGCTTTCTGCATTTTGTTAGCAAGATATCTAGTAGCATTGATGCCACCAACAGCAAGTAGACCAGACACTGCCTGTCTTGCACTCGAAACCATTACAGTTCGTCGCAGAACCTTCTGCATACATTTAGCTGCCTCTTCTCTTGAACTGATTATAACTTCATTTATAGCTCGACCTGCAAAATGTATGTTATGTAATCATTCAAGTATCCAGGATTAAGTATAGAAGGTCTAGCGAAAAATTTTCAATCACTTGTTCTCTTAAGGAAAATTGGATGCAGAATAAGTTTCGATTTGTACACTGCCTCAGAAATAATATTTCTTCTTAATCTGTCCTACCAACTGACGTTCATACCATATTCATTTATTCTCTTTTTCTCTCCAAGCTTCATCCCCATTTGACTTCTAATTGCTGTTGGAAGAGAAGACACAAGGGAGCAAGTGACTGGCAAGCTACAATCCTGATTCAAGCGACAGAAACATATAAGAACTTGGCGTTTTAAAGCATCAGATGACAAGAACAAAGGTGTTCAAACAACAGTTTCCTCAACCAAACAAGTTTTTAAAACTGTTTTTCATAAATTTATCATGAAAAAAGAATTTACTTTCACCAGAACAGAATATGTAGTAAACAATGGAACATTGAACTGAAAATGGAGAAATCATAATTTCAAAAAAATAAAAATAAAAGCCAAGTTAGATGCATAACAGTGCCCTTATCAAGCATTGATTCTAAGTAACAAGAGTAAATAGACGTATGCTAAATTGTACATATATATGTCATATTTGGTATGAGGGCAATACATAATCAAGTATTTGGGTATTGATTCAAATTTTACAAACCTGTGATATATTTGCTTGGTCAGTTCCAGATGCCGAGACTCTCAAGAAGTCTTTGGCCTCGTATTCTTGAAGAAATGGCTTATATATTGAGTGGAATAAATCAAACTGTCCTTGCACAATCTTTTTCACCTGAGGCAAATTTTATACATGAAAACCAGAAACGTTCGCGGAACAAAAGAAATGCTTGTTCACTTTTGTATAACTCTTATTATTAACATAACTGTAATATATTGGTGAGTGAAACAGAGGGAGGAAGAGAGGGAATCTTTCGTAAAATTCACAACATGAGTGAGTCAACCATGAACTATGCACATCAATGCTATTGAAAGCCACAAATCAATTTTCTCAATATTTTATATAGGTGTGATCTAGCTGTACCTTTTTTTTGTCCTCTGCAAAAAGCATACGCAAATCTCCCATATATGAAAGGCTACATATTTTGGCAAACAGATCTTCCTGCACAATCAAAGACTTAATCATAACTCTAGCAACTCTAAAATGAATGAGCAGTAACATGTAAGCAAACCTGTGTGAACTTGGAGGGCAAAAGAAGAAGAGCAGCAGACAATGCAGCCCTCAAATTAACAGAGTTTGTATTTGCAATATCCAGATTGTCCACAAGTATGTGTACCTGCACAAGCAACACCAAGCTCCCTGAGATTGGTAAATAATACTGATATATGAGACCACAAACTCAATTTTCAGATCTCAGGTCATGGTTAAGAACCAAAATCAGTGCAAAGAAAGCAGAAGATAGCTAATGAAAAGCACAGCTCAGGAGAAGAGGAATTAAGGATAATTAGCTAAACATAAGAGCTCCTATCATTGATATGATCACATGTCAAATGACATCTAAGCAACACAAGGACCATATACGCTCGTCAGTCATGCACATTTTAGTAACATTATACTTGGCAGCTTGTCAGCCTACAACATCTTAGCTTCAAGCAATGATTGTTTCAGGGCTTTATATTGACTAGTTGGCATGACATCTAACAATTTATCCATGGAGATGTTATTGTAGAAAATTAAGAAAAACTAGCAGGTTATATAGAAAAAGAAAAATGCTAAATCCAGGGCTGAATTTGTTAGTGACCGAGCACTAAATGATTAAGGAAAGACAGGATAGTTGTAGCACAACGACTTTTACTTTAGATTAACAGTACCTATGTCTAAAATCTTCTAAAACTGTCAATTTGAAAACAAACAAAATAAACAAGATCTTCAGCCACCTTTGAAGCTCTCTTGAAGGTGTGATCGCTAGGTCTGATTTCCTAGTCCCTTTGCTGAAATTATGACACTAGTTCCCAAGGAAGAAATGTTGATGCTTATTACAATTAAGAAGAAATGATAAAAATTTATATAAAAAAAAAGGGAAAATCAGGAAGGCAGACCGGTTTCTGTAGACGACCACTTAAATAGAATCTCTCCCAATTCAGCATGTCCTGAACCAAGTCATGCATTCCAACAACCCCGTACTTCAACATCTGCCCATAATTGTTTCGTGCATTAAAACACGGGAAAATTTCAATTCATCATAGAAATAAATGCAAGAAAATGATTGGAGGTGCATTTCATGCCTAAATACAGAACTCCTTGTTCATGGACAATAAGTTGGAACCAGTGCCGCACAAGTGTGCACACACACATATAGTCCTTGTATTTAAGTCATCAGATTTAAGTTTTTGAAAAGTCAGTACCTTATCATTCCAGGTAACAAACGGGTTGAAGTGTACTCCTACACCTATTTCATCTGCAATTTGTGTAATCTAGGACAAGACAACCAACCAAATTTTAGTCTAAGTATAAGAAAATGAAATTTCAACATCTGTTAGGAGTTTGCCAGAGAGTTGAGAGATAGAAAGAGAAATAGGGAGAGAGAGAGAAACACCAGCTTTGCCCCGCCAAGCAACCTCAACCACGAAGCATAATGATCTGCATTCATTTTCAGATTCTAGGTCGTACGACGAACCAAATAAGATTTATTAGAAAATCAAATAGCATACTTTCTTAACAGAAATCAATTTTAATCAACAAACACTCTACATTATACATGATCACACCTGAGAATGCCATTGCAGAGGATCCGACACTCCGAGAATATAATCTACCATGGCTGACTGCATTAACATAAACTCATATGTTAAAAGATAAAAAACACTAATTTTTAAAGTAAAATGAATGCGACACTAAAAAAAATCAACAGAACGCAAAAGTAAAACAAAGTGAAACCTTGTCTTTATTGTTTGGATGCAAAGTGGAACCATAAACACAGCAGAATTCTACAGAGGGAACAGCTTTCAAAAAGCTCACTAGCTCAGCTCTCTTCTCATTCTCCATTAGTTACACTACTGTTTAATCACAAACATAAACAACTAAACCATCATAAACCCACATGGCGAATACTTGTAATCAGTCCATAACAATGCTCATTCGATGAACCAGGCAGTAGTATTAACGAAAAGCGAAAAGGGTTGGCATTTCAGCTCATGTTTTACTCCAAAACGAAAGTTGAAAACAGAACGATGAGTTTCAAAGAGAATTTTTATCAAACAGGTAGCGTGCACTTCAAATAAGTAAAAACTGTTGCCTAAAAGTGTTTTTGCTTTTTGGACTTGCAGAATTCGAAACAAACAAAGCAAACGAATCAAGCGGTGCTGCGGTTTCTCACTCTTCAGTTTCACTTTGGAGTAAATGAATGTGACCAAAAGAGTCAAAAGAAAGCCCTTTTTATTTCTTGTTTGCAACTGGCTTAAATGGTTGCCTGTATCACCTTTTCTGTACTTTATATTTTAGTTGAAGTCTATTACACCAATTTATAGTTATGTTAAATTAATTTTATTTTTCCTTCTCAAGTTAAAACCGTTTAAGCTCTAATAATCTAAATGTTGAGGTTCAGTTTATACCATTACCAATTCTATATGGAATATAATCAATTCAAACATATGTAGGACGGGGTTTTAGTGTGATACATCATTGATCATTGAAATAAGGCCAAACGATTTCCATCCACCCAAAGTTTGGCATAAAGACAAATTGATACCCAAAAAATTTAGCAATGACAAATAAATATTTTCTATTATATTCTGTTAAGAATTTCTATCTACTAAAAGACAGTACAGTAATTTCATCTACAGTCACAAAATTTTTAAATTTTAAATCTTTTTCTCCATATCCATTCTCACTCTAAGCTCGTTTGCACAACCTTTCTGCGTCATCGATCAATTTTTTGACCAAATCTAGCATTTTTCTGCGAAATTCGATGATAAACAGTGGCATTAGCCCTTACTGGCGTGCGTTGGGAATAGAGATCGGTGGGTATTCCAGTCTTTTCACCATTTTTATCTTTCAGCAGATGAAAATTTCTAACAGAACATGACAGAAGATGAGTGTTTGTCATTTCTAAACCTTTTGGGTACCACTTTTTTATATAACAAACTTTGGGTATGTGTAAGTCGTTCCCCCTTGTAAATTCATAATGTGAAATTTTTGAAAGCGCAACACTTGTAAGTTGTAACCCTAAACCCACCCAAAAACTGGTAAATTTTTATGCCCTCCTAATACGTAAAATTTCCGCTTAGCCCTCGTTATGACCTTATAATTATTATCTACAAAATAAGGGGTTTTAGATATTCACCGGAGGCTTAAACAAAATTGGGCCAAAGGGTTTGGGACCGGGCCTTGGAAGAGAGACCGAACCTAAGCCCGAGCCCTCCTCCTTGGGCCTGATTTGGTTTTGGAACCAAACCTTATAGGACCGATTCTTGTGACGATGCAGTCCTAGGCCCGATTTTTTGGGTGGGTTTTTGGGTCCAGGCCCAAATTCCCACCTCTAATTATAGCACAGACTTGCAAGACAGAAGTGTATACAAGCAACTCGGTCTCATCAAAATGTATTATCCCAAACTAGATTAAATTTCTTCCACATAGACACATAATCAAAGATTGTTGAGAAAAAAGCCAGAATAGCACTGATAACATTAGAATCAGATATCTTTATAAGTGAACTAGTGAAAACTGCCACTACAAAACTTGGCATCTTCTTCCCCATTGGAACCCACGCAAAAAGGTCTCAATGGGTGTTAAAATAAGCTAAAAAAGCAGAAGGCAGCAATGCCGCAGAGTCACCACTAGTAATAATATTCATAAATGGAAAGGAGATTAAAAAATAAAAATTGTACAAAGGACAACTTGTTTTTTTGGTGAAAAGAAGGCTTTTTTAACAGTTTAACTTGTCTGAAGTAAGTCCATCCTGTACTGCGACCAAATCAGGAAGCACAAGGGCACCGGATTTTTTCCATTCCTGAGCATCAGGTGTCTTGAACCTATCTAATAGTATTGCATGCATCCCCACTTCCTTTGCAGGGAGATAGTCTTTGCGAAAGCTGTCTCCGATGTGCAGAGTTTCATCAGGAGCAATATTTCCAGCTTTTTCAAGGGCAATCTCATAAATTCTTGGGTTAGGTTTCTCGACGCCTTCAAGACCAGAAAAAACACCAAAATCCCACTCGGTTCCCTGAATTGTTAATTGCATGAGATTGTTAGGACTTCTATAGCTCAGAAACCACGTTTATAACAAAAAGGACAATCAGTGGCATTAATGAGGAAAACCTATGAGACGTGCGTACATGTCAAATAAATTTTGAAAAAGATATATAAGAACATATTGACCTGGCTCAAACCCAAAGCTGGAAGAATTACATCCTGATAACGGTACTCTGCATTGCTAATAATCCCAACTTTTAGACCCTGTCCATGTGCCCATCTTAAGAATGGTTTAGAATCTGGGAAGATAGTATACGGTGCAGATGAACCAAAGGATGCATATATGCGTTTAAATATCTTCTCAAATGTTTCCTCATCATAATCATATCCTGCCTGTAGGTGCAACAATTCGTGTCATATCTAGAAGTACAATCATAAAGCATATATTGATACAATTATGACTTCAGAAATATCTTCTTAAAAACATTACGATTACAGCATGCTGCAAAGCATTCAGGATCTGGGCTGCTATATGCAATAAAAATAGCATGCCAATCCGGCCAATGGCTCAGTCATATATCTTACCCTGACAAAGGAATCTCTAACACAAGTTTTCCACCAGACAATGTTGGGCATCTTTGCTGCATAACCAAAACATGGATACTTTGTTGCCATCTCTTTATATGCCAGTTTAAAGCCCTCATGCACACGTTTGTAGTCAGGGCACGGCAGTCCAACAGATTTGGCTGCCATGCAATAGTAGTCACCAAGCTCCCCTTTGTAAGCCATAAGAGTACCAGTAACATCCACAGTGATACAGCGTAATCTTGACAACAAAGACATTGCAACAGAAGTTGTGCAGCAGGTTTATTGAGATAGCTATAGTCTTCAACTTATGATAAATAGGGTCCTTCTTGACTATGGATCAACCCGTTTCTTCAAAGAATCCAAGAAGTTTGCATCTGCTAAGTCAACAGTGTTGGTTATGTATTGCCACCAAAGAGAGATGACTACAAAGCAATGAGGTTTTTGCATAAAACATGACTTTTACTTTAGTCTTCTATAAAGGGTCAATTGACTAAGTTGCCAGAAACGTGACAAGGCCACTGGAAAATCATTCACCATTTTAACGTCTAGATTACTCTTAGCTCAAAAGGGGGAAATAGAAGCTTAAACTATAACAACTAAGACACAAGTTCAATGCTTTCATCTTTGATCATGATAAATTAGGCATATATAGTTGGAAAAAAGCAACATGAACAAAGCCAGGCAGCAAAATTCACAAACAAGGAAGATCCCAAATTATAACACTTTCACACTTAAGTGTTAGCTCACTATGGACAATAAATTAGTTGCTGAAATTTATCAAAAATTTTCCAAGAAAAGGAATCATTATTAGTCTTACAGGGCTCTGAACCATTATAAGAACACCAAATAGCTAGTTGGGTGAAGTATAAATAACTTGGAAACTGATATTCAAACGAAAAATGAAAAGAAAATTATAGAAAAAAGATGGATTCCTTTGGCATATGAAAGGAACTACAATACCAATGACTATCGCAGCTCACAGTGTTTATATGGTTCCTTCACCAAAATCTAGAAACAATTTTTTTATCATTGACACTATGACATCAAAGCAATCCGATTCACCTTTGTTTTCAATTACACATGTTGCACGCTCAGAAATGACATCAATCTTAATTCCAGATTTGATCAAACACAGTTCCCTTCTTGTCACTAAGATTATTCAACAAAGTGATCAAAACCTCCAATGATTTCTTTTGATCTCCTTCATACATGCCCTTTAAAAAGAAAAATTAAGTACAATCACCATAAAGACACATTACAGAACAATCATCCACAACAGAACAAAAACGACCAGAAAAACCAAATCACACTCGTATAAACAATTCAACCAAATCAAAACTTTTGACTCCAAAAAAGCAAATTAATTTCCTATAAGCACAATCTGGACATTGCATAACAATGCAGATAACACATTTCTCCTCCAACCCAGTTCACAAAATCATTTCTTTTTCCAATGTCAAAGATAATTTATAGAATCCAATCACAAATAAAACAACAGATATCAAAACAATCACAAATAAAACAACAGATATCAAAACATCGACTCTGTAAAACAAAATCAAAACCTCAGATTCATAAATTACACACCCAAAAACAAAAACAAAAACGAAAACACAGAACCAAAATTAGTCAAATAAAAAAAAATGGTAATGCAAAATGAAGAACAAATAAAAACCCATGAAGAAAAGAGGAAAACAAGACATACCCAGAAGCTGAAATGCAGAAAAATCTTCAGTTTATTGTTGTCTTGTCATTTTGGAATGAGTAAATAGAGCTTTAGCTTCAGCTACACTGCAGTTTCATGAGTCATTGGATTTGGACCAAAGCTACCTGACTCCTAGTACATATATATAGTAACTTGATACGTGAGAAGTCTTCGTCGCTTTTGTTTGATCGATCCCTCCATTTTTGTCTAATTCTGTTTGTTACAAAATCAAACTAGAAACTCACAAATCAAACCCTAACACAATTGAAAATTCCTTAAAACATCACAAATCAACCCATTGGAAGGGTTGTTGAGGCCATTTTCAATCATCAATTCCACCCGTAACATCACTCTTCACGGCTTCACAACTTCAGTAGCATCAGTCTTCAGTCGGAACCATGGCGATCTGGCTGGCTGGCAAGATCTGGTTGCCAAACAGCGGCAACTAGAGGGTGTGATTGGGGAGGAGGAAAGAAAATAAAGGAAGAGAAAGAGGAGAAAGAGACGGAGGAGGAAGAGAACAGAAAAAGAGAGAACGGATTTGAAACAGAGAAGTAGAAGAAAGAAGAAACGTGTTTACGAATAAATTGAAGGTTGCGTTTGGTTGGGGTAAGTCACCTTATATTAGCTAACTACGTTTAATTGTCATCTGTTGTAATACTGAAAGTAACGTATTAAAGTTAATCTTATTTTTATTACAATTTTATTTTTTATTAATAAAATTTTAAGGCAATAATATCTTTATAACACATTTAATCTACATAAACCTATCATTACAATTTTATCTTTGATTATTTAAGTTTTTAGACATTAACACCCTTATATTATAATAAATTACAATTCACCCAATACCATCACACCACTCACCCATTGTCGATCATCAATGCCGTAATGATACAAGGCCAATTGGATCTGGGCAGGCTTGCGTTGTTATTGCTTTTTTCGGCCATATCTTTGGCATGATTTGATCGTTTTCGACCAAATTTTTTATGATCTCGGCATGTGGGTTATGAATTCCAGGCTAATGAACATTAATATCACCAGTGAAATGGTCATCGGCTTGGTTAGACACACGTTTTACGAACACTTCTGCGTTGGCGAATCCATTGCAGAGGCCGAACGCTTGAGCGGGATGTTGGTTTATGCAGTGGAGCATACGGATAGTGAAAATGAGTGTGATCAGAATTTACAAAGGTTTCTTGGGACTGTTGAATTGGCAAAGGCGCTTGCTCTGTCGTCTGTAAGATTATTATTAAATTATCATTATTATTATTTTTCGTTATAATCTTAAGGTTTATCTGTTTAACCAATTTACAGTACTAGACGGTAAATGCTGGCAAGATTTTTACTAATTAATAGGTGAAATGGTCAAAAAATGTTATTAAATTCTGGTGGTGTTTGTTGTTTCTGTTTCTATCATAAACATTAATAGTTTTTTATTTTTTATTTAAAAAATAAATAAATTTTTGAAAACTTCTTAGGGTCAGTTTAGTTTATTATTTTGATACCTTTTAAAATAATATTTTAAAAAAAATCAAATTAGATTGATATTACAACTACTATTGTTGGCTGCTTGGACATTGCCAACAATAGCAGCAACGGAGAGGATTGTGTTGCCCTCCTTGTTTTTCACTGCCAGTTGATCTGTTGACATTTTAATCAATAGATACTCCACAATATGATGCGCCTTGCCTGTACCAACAGCTACATGAAGAGCTGTGCCCAAGTTTACCGAGATCCTGGCGTCTAACGCATGTGTATCTGGGGCTTCACAGATTTTTTTTACATGTTCCAGGTTCCCCTGGAGTATAGCTTCATATGGTGACTGGTATACCGTGATATCCTCTGCAATAAAAACATACCGAAAACTTTTCATTATTATTTATGTACTTCTGAAAATTTAATTAGATTTTCTATAACTTACTCATGTCCTGTTCTGATAAGGCAGTAGACCCTGATAAAGAAGAGGCCATCTGTAATGAAGAAGAGATGATCGATAAGCTGAGATGAAGAGAAAGCAATAGGCTGTGTTGAAGTAGAGATTGTAGTTGGACAGTGTGTACACTTGGATTGACACGGCTTGTCCTGACCCTTCCTATCCTATAGGCTTTGGGCACACCTATAAGATTCGGGTGATCAATACCTGCCATGTGAAAAACTGTAAAACCCATAAATAAATAAATAAATAAATAAAATTGTTTTCTGAATATGCTTCTTATAAACACATTCTCTTGATTTGTCATGAAAAAAATAATATATAATATATAGGTATTTGAAAATTTGAAAGCATAGCACATTCATTATATGAAACCTGAAGAGCAAGCCATCAAATTTTCATATATGTTACAATCAATCATATGAGATCAACATATGAAATAAAACATAATCTGCTACAGAACAAACAGGACATTTTACACATATGATGAGACAATGACATGTGGGCCTAGGGATGGGCATGCCCAATGGTCCCCGACCCTAGCCTGAAGGGCCGAGGGGATTTCCCGATCCCGGCCCGAAGCCTGTTCGAGGAATTCAGGGAATCCCTGAAAAAAGCCCATTCCAATTCCCCAAATTCCCGATTTGGAGGTTTTTTGTATTTTTGTATCCTTAATCTTATGCTTTTATTATTCTTTTCTCCCAATTATATATACCAACCAAAAAAGAAATTAAATATATAATATACATATTAAACGTAAAGACCATATCATCAAAAAAGAAATTAAATCTATAATGTACATATTAAATATAAGTATAATATTATGCATGATTGTATTAAGTATACATATATAATGTCTCTTTAATATATAATATAATGTATTATATATGATACATTATACACATATATATTATAATAAATTTTAAATAAATAATTACCATACATATTATAATAAATTCTAGATAAATAGCCATCACAATTCACAATATAACAAAGACAATTAGGTAATAGAATTGAAATAATGATTCAATGAGGGACAAAAAAAAAAAAAATATTATAGTGACTTATTGATTCATTATAATCAATCAAAACAACAAATAATATATTACATATATATTATATATTAACGTAAGATTATAGATAATAGCATATTATGTATAAATAATAATGTATAACATATATATGTTATGAGTAATGCTACAGTTACCGACTGGTGTGTACCGATTTTGTGCACCGAATAACGTGGCACAATCCTGACCGTTTATTTATTATCAATTAATATTAATCAACGGTCAGGATTTTGTCACGTCATTCGGTGCACAAAATCGGTACACACCAGTCGGTAGCTGTAGCATTTTCCATATGTTATATATATTATACTTATATAGTATATATCATATGTAATATACAATGTATAATTTATAATATATAATGTCAAATGTGTACCATATATAATGTATAATGTTAAATGTATACCATACATAATGTATAATATATAATGTCAAATGTATAACTTTGTTTCATAGCATTATCATATTATACATAATATATATATTACAAATATTTATTTAATCTAGTTTCATTTATTACCTATTTATATATAGTTTCATAAAATACTTACATAAGTATAATATGTTATTATATAATGTATAATTGATTTTCAAATAGCAAAATTATTATAGGTATATATGATTAATTTTCAATTATTAAAATTAATATATATATAATATACAGGTCGGGGATAGGACGAGACGGGTCGGGGAAAAACCAATCCTGGCCCCGGCCCGTCCCCGAATTTCGAGGGCCAATACTGGGCCCGATCCCTGCCTGAAGCCCAACAAATTTGGGGAAAATTTGCCCTATTCAGGGCGGGTTGGGGCGGATCTCCGCGGGGCCGGGCTTTGTGCCCATCCCTATGTGGGTCCAACCTTGAGAGGAATCACTCCTTGACACAATCTTCTTGTGAACCTGGGGGAAAAAACATTCTAAAAGGGAATGAGCTAAAATACTCAGTGAGTGGAGAATGAGGAGTAAAACATTTTTATGAAAAATAATAACTCTAAAAGGTCATGCTACAAACATCTAAAACATCGCAAACAATCATGTATCTCTGAAAAGAAATAATGCTCTATGAATGTCATGCACATAACAAAGACTTCGTGCAATTGTGATTAGTGCAATTGTGATTAATGCAATTAATCCATAGTTTTTTTGATACTAAAAACTGAACCTGATTCTGATTATCTACAAAAAGAAATCATACTGCAAGCACCCACATCATCACTCAATGAATGCTTATTTAGTGTTTCTGGAACAACATTTTAAAACACACAACCAACGTTTATGCTTGCAAATTAATACTCATGCATCTCAAATTTCTCATGTCTTTAAAACAACATTACTAAAATCATATTTCAAATGTGTGAATTAGTCTCATAAAACTAGTATTAATCATTGATGACTATTTTCATGATATGAAACATAAAACTGATTCTGAAAAACTATGCACTGATATCTGATCTTTTAATACTAAAAACTTTATGGTGATAATTGAACTTTAAACTGAATACTGTAGATTTTACTACTACTGAAAACTCTGAGTTGAATACCACTTTATCATAAAATACTGAAAATGGAAAACTGAATAGTACTTGGGCTGGCAAAATCAAATCATATGTAGCGATATATGCCTCGCTCGGGCTTTCGACACCCTTGGGCCGACAAAATCAAATCCTGTATAGCGATATCTATCTCGCTTGGGCCTTCAATCCACTTAAGTCGGCAAATGACCAATCATACGCATGCGCAAAGTCATCACTTAATATGAAGAGAGGAATAGGTACCATGTCGGGTGGTTTTGAAAATCACTTTTATCTCTACTTTCTCAAACCTCTCTTTTCTCATAAAACTTATGCTTTTCTTCTTTTTTAAAGGCATGCTTAAAAATCATAATACTTGATGCAATGTAAATGGGTCAACATGTAATTTCATAATGTTTCTCAAAAACTAACAATTTCGACACATTTTTCATTTCTCATTTCAACTACTAGTCATCCACATCAGAATTCATCTCCACCCATTGCAAACAACACTACCCGCATTTAGTAACAATAAAACTTCTTCTAATGTGAATTCATCAGCATTTTTAAGGCAGCATCTTACAAATAGTCAC